GGCCCGGGGGGCGGCACCCACGTGCGCCCCACCGAGGGCAACGGGCACCGGGGCGGCTTCCCCCCGCGAGCAGCGGCCAGAGCCCCGAGGGGACCGGCCAGGTGCCCCCGGCTCCGCGCTGCTGCCGCCCGGCCCCGCGGCATCCCCGGCCCGGCCGTGCCTCAGTTTCCCCCTCGGGAAACGGAGCCCTCCGGGAGGGCTGGTTTGGGGAAGGGGTTGTCTCTCCGCCGGGAAGCGCGGGCTGCGCTGCGCGGCACGTTGTGGATTGGGGCCGAGCCCACAGCTCTCGTTGGAAGTGCGAGACATTAAAAGGATTAGGGAACGGAGCGGGAGGGAAAGCGGGAGTTTCGCCAGGAAGCGGCACTCGGCGAACACCGCGGCTAGACGGGAGGCGGGCACGGGGACCCCCGGCCATCCCGCCCGCATCCTCCCAGTCCCGACGGGCTCTTACCTGGCGGGCGGGCGCCCTCAGGGCCGGCGGCGCGGGGCCATGGGGCCGGAGGCGACGGTGACGGGCTGGGGCTCAGCCCCGCAACCCCGGCGCGGGCTGCATCGCTCCGCGGCTCTGCCGGCCCCGCCACCTGTTGCGCACCGGGGCGGGGGCTGCACCGGGCGGCCCCCGGGGCCGGTACCTGGCCGGGGCCGGGGCCGGCGCCGCCTGCTCGCCGCTGAGTGACAGCTGCTAATTTGCCGGCCGTGCCCCGCTGCCGGTCCCCGCGCTCCCCGAGCCCTCCTTTATCTTATCAGAGCCCATAATTACAATTGCTATTTTGTTTCCTCGAATCAGCAATCAGCGCTATCTGCCGCCGCTGGAAAGGCAGCTCCTGTCAGCCGGCCTCTGAGTGACAGAGTGGAGGGCCCGCACTGCCGCACGCACAACCCACCCCCGTCACACACACACACAGCTCCCCGCACACCCGCAGCCCTGCACCRCCACACACAGCCCTCCTGCACACCCGTGTGCACACACGGAGCAGCCCTGCACACACATGTGCACACACAGAGCAGCCCTGTGCATGATTTGCACGCACAGAGCAGCCCTGCACATGCACGGAGCCCTCCTCCACATGCACATGTGCAGCCCCACACACACACTCTTGCACGGCCCTCCTACCCACGCACAGAGCCTTTGCTGCACACTCAGCCCTCATGCTCAGGGAAATGCTGCAGCCCTACGTGCACATTCATGTACATTCCTGCACACACAGCCCTTGAGACACACATGTGTGCACTCATGTGGGTGTCTGCATAGGCATGCACACGCAGTGTACATACAGATTCCTCCACGTGCATGCAGAGCCTTTCGTATACAACCCTATGCACAGCAGCACTTAASATACTCGTGGTCCTCACACATATATCTTCTCACTCACTCTTTCCTCATATGCACAGAGCCACATAAAGTCACCCGCTGGGCGCACAGGCCAGTGAGTCTGAGCTGGCAGAGCCCATCTTTAAACTCCTTCACAGGGGACAACCACCTCTTTCATCCAAAGTTTCCAGCAGAACTGACCTCTGGTGCATTTTTATTCCCTTGGTGCAAATGGATGTTTCTGAGGAGGTTCCTAAATGTGCAGAGAAGCTTTGGCCTGAGCCGGCGTTTATCCAGTGGGAGCACCAGGAGAACGGGCAGGACCGGCGTGGATCCTGCTGAGCTGAAACAGCGTTTCCCTGGGCRGCCAGCGCTCACACATCCAGCTCATGGGTTAAATCCTCCAGGCTGAACCACGGTAGGAGCTACTTCCCAGGGCAGGGGGGTGCCGGCACCCACATYCACCTCTGCACACCGCCTCCGGAGATGGAAGAAAAACCAAGGCAGCGCTTAAATTCCTGACCCTCTAAAATAAAACACTCCTCTTTATAGACATATAAACGGAAGGGATTTAGACACTGGCTCCCTTTGGCAGATGCTGCTCCCACTCCTCACTGGCCGCTCCTGCTTTGCCAGCAGCGGGTGCAAGGCCAGGGCACACGTCGGGCTGCAAGCCCTGGGGAGCACYGAGCGCGTGGCTGGCCCGGCCCGACCGCGTCGGCCTCGCAGCGCGCGGCAGCTCCGCGGCCAAAGCTCCAGCGCCGGCCTCAACACAGAGATTTATGGCGTCCCGTGTGGGGTCAGAGGCAGCCGCAAGCTGACAGCTCTGGGTGCCCCCTGCCCTCGACAAACAGGCTCAAGTGCCAGTCATGGCTGTAAAATCGAGCCGGTGCGGGATCACCCAGGGGCAGGCACACTCCACCTGACACTGGATGACAGATGATGCTCCTGCCATCCATCCTCAGGCTCAGGGTGAGCACCAGCCACGGCCACAGCYTTCCGCTCGCCTCACCTCTGGGCATGGAAGAGGCCCAAGCAGCCTGTGATGACAGCCAGGGACCAGGCAGCATCAAAGCTGCTGGGCTCGACCCACCTGGTTGCTGCCTCCAGCCTCCCAGCCGTGACTTGCTCCTAGCAGGGAAATTGGGTGCTTTTGTAGAGCCTCCTTCCAGCTCCCCAAGAAGTGACCCATATTTGCATGAAGAATGACACTTGCCTTCGCCCTGACCATCACTTTTTTTTTTTTTTTTGTTAAGTGAAAAACAAATCTGTCTGAAAATCTTCATAAGGAAACCCAACACGAATCTATCTGCATATCCGCTCCTTTGCAGGCCATCTGAGCTAAGCGCTGTGGTCCAAGGAGCAAGAGCTCCTCTCCTTCCCCAGGCACTGAGCCTAAATGGCCTGTCTGGCTCTCCTGCGGAGCAGCCTGGTGCTCCTGAGCCCAGCTGAGCCTTGGCCTGAGCTGGGATGATGGAGTCTCCATCAATYGCAGGTAATCATCACACTGAACCCCCAGAAGGACCAGCCTGGCTCACAAGCTCGGAGCTGCCTCCATACTCCTCCACAATACCCTGTTCATGGCCACCAAAGTGCTCCATCAGGTCCCGTCCCAGTGCCCCAGCRCTTGGTTTATTGCCCCAGTCTGCAGAGCCGGGTCTGGGCAGCGTGTGCCTTCCTCAGAGAATAGCCCATGTATTTCATGTGCTTAGGTGTTAAATGCTGCGGACGGAACATCAAACACCAGATACCAGGCTCTTCTCTCCTGCAAGCCACCCACCGGGTGGCCAGAGCTTGGACAAGACACCTCTTGTGGAAACAAAYTCCCCCCTGTGCCCCCTGGAGCTGCGGCCAGGTCAGGGCCTCCCCTCCCCAGACAGCCCCTCCTAAGGGTCCCWTCTACCCTCAGCAGCCCCGGCCGAGGGCAACGTCCAGGGCAGGAGCTGGGATTGCAGCCCTGCGCTGCCTCCGTGGCCCGGGGCTCGTGTCCACACGATGGCGACAGCCTCGTAGGGCTGGTGTCCCCAGAGGAGACCCGGAGCTGTGCCCAGCGCCCAGCCCGGCAGGGAAAACGCAGCAGGCACCACCTGCAGAATTCGCTGTCCTGCTCAGTGCCCCTAGTGCAGCCCCAGGACCTCGGCTTGGTGGCACCGGCTGAACCCACTGAAACACCGAACATCTGGCATCTATTCCCGTGGCTATTGCCACCCTGTTGCCTGGAATTGTGCTTCATTTTCCCCTTTCTGTCCTGTTTCTGCTACATCCACTTAGCCTGCTGGGGATTTATGCATTAATATCCCCACGCTGAGGACCTACAGGGCTGCAGTTTGAGGAGACGAGATGACAGGGGGCAAGGGGCTGTGAGAGCCCCTGGAGACCCTCTGCGCGTGGCACCATGGAGCAGAGGCTGCAGAGCTGACCCAGCTCATGGGAAGGGCTGTCTCACCCGAACCCCTCAGCACTGCCTGCCCAGCCCACCATCAGTCCCTGCTCCCTCCCTGGACTGACACTCTTCACCCTCCGGCTCGCAGCTCCACCTTCCCACTCCCGTTCCCTCCTGCTCCTCACCTTGGAGACAAGACAGGTGAGAAACAGTCCATGGATGCCCCTCACCTGCACAGTGCAAGAGACCACAGGGCAATGCCTCCAACCTGCGCAGGAGCTGAAGGCCAGCAAGGTACTCTCCACTTCTCCACGAGCACCAGCCTAAGGCCTCCTCACCAGCCTCCCCAGAGGCCAGGCCTATCTCACTTGACTCCACAGAGCCAAGAGCAGCAGAGACTGGGGCAGACCAGGACAAGTGAAAGCTTGGGGGCGAGGGACAGCCAGCACAGCACCCGTGTGAGAGTCGCCTTGAGCATCTCTTTGCAAGGAGAGGAGGAAGCAGGAGAAGGGCCGAGGGGCAGAGCTGGCGTGGAGGCTCCCGGCAGAGCCGGGGGGGACACGAGTCCCCTCCACCCTCACGCTTCCCAGGCGCAGCCCCCAGCCCCGCGCACCGATCCAGCATTAATGGGGCGTTTCGGAGGCCGCGGCCGCTCGGCACGGCTGAGCGGCGCCGCGCAGCCCGCGGCGATGCCGCCGCTCGCCATTAACCCGGGCTCCCCCAAAGGGAAGGAACTCGGGCGAACCCCACTGGCCTGCACTGCATGGGAATGACCTTGTCCGCGCTACCCACAGCACCGATGTGGCCCTCGAGGCCATCCCGGAGCGGCGAGGGGAGGCAGAGGCTGCTCACAATTCATTCTCCTCTCTATTCAATTGCCAGCAACAGGTTTACGGCATGTTTGGTGGGA